GATAGCATTATCATCTCTGATAATGTTATTGATAATGATAACAACAACAATACAGAAGGCAGACCTGCTGTTGTGATTCATCGGGCATTTGGGTGATCACAGGAGTGGGCAACGCGATTGGTTGATCTTGTGGTGAGAAGGTTTGTATGGAGGAGGTTGGCACGATGATGTTATTGCTCGATTGTGAACAGTTCGTTGACGGAGGTGATATTTCGGAGTTGAGTGAAAATGCATCAACTGATAACGATGCGGTGATCGCTTGAACCAGAGTGGGTTTACGCTCACTCCTCGTCCCTAGTCCATCTCGATTCCTTTGAACACCTTCAACTTTACTCATCTGCGGTCTTCATCAATCAACATACGACCAACTTAAGCATTTCTCTTCTTATTTTTGATATGCTGTTTGACAGCGACATTCAAAAGATTCGGTTTGGTGAGAACGCTCAATGACACAACTGTCAGAATCGTAACGATTCAGATGGTGATTGATGAGTATGTCAACGAGGATCAACGATAATATTGAATGATAACTGAACATGTTACTTGAATGATAACTCCTAAGTGACTGCCGACAATCTTCAGTCATACCAAAATTCTCCATCTGCTCATTTTTTCAGAGAAAGAAAGCTATGAATCAAGTGGAGTTACCGAACCTACAGTTCAAGCACCCCGCATTGGTGACTTCGGAATGACATATATTCTATGAGATTCCGAAGTTTCTAAAGAGTTCAACATTTTACGAGTTTTCAATGCAATCGATCTTTACCGATGACTGGCAATTAGCGGAACATGAAACTTCTACGTCGGGTAATCAAGACAGCCGCATAATTGGAGTTAGAGTGTGCTGGCCTAAGCTTGAGCATAAATGACCGTTGCGGGAAGGAGGAACAACGAGATCTCCCGGACAATCAAATCGATAAAAATTGCTTTGGTCCATCAGCTGGACAAGTTTGCGGACTCAAATATGACGATATGTCAGCATCGAGGTGCTCGAGGGTAGTGAAGACATTTTTTTCATTCATTAATTATTCGGATAGAATTGGTACGAATAATTGAACAGGTACTTGTCAGAAACTGACTCAGATATAAATGTCTAAGGCACGACATAGTGAACTGTTGAACGATGAACATCTCCGATGGATATTTCGCATGTGAACACAAAGTTTTGAGCAGGCGAGTTGAGAGAATGTTTTGAGGATGCAACGAACATCTCAGGTATGGTAATGTGAACCTTGAATGAAATCATACTAACTCTTTGCATTCATTCCCAGTTCGACGCATTTCCGTAGACGACAAGCACGACACATACATCGAACATCTGTAAAAATGTTGATATGATATGCGCAATGAGTGATGAGCCTGCTGCGAAATTGAGTGATTAATTGCAAAGTACGAATCACATGAGTGCCTTCGGTCACGTGACAGTTTTTGAAATGAACGGAATGATAGTGCAGAAGTGACAACTCACATTCATTTCAATTCGTCAATTCGTTACTAGTATTCCAATACTAATGTTTTTTACATCGTAATGAGATGTTAAAATTGCTCAAGAAACCGATGGTTACTATAGCCAGAATTCGCATGTTTAGTAATCATTGAGCGAAGATTAATTGCTTTCAAACGACACTTCAAACAGGTCATTTTTAACGGCATTTTTTGCTCCTTTATGGAATCATTCAGCAATAATTTTTTCATCTTGCAAATGGGCAGTTGCAAAGAATTGCTGTTGAAAATACAGGAATTGCTATCAAAAAGACACACTATCTTGAGTGCTTCCACTCCGGAACGCGAGTTCGTTCAATAATAACGATGCTCCGATAGATCAGTTGCTCTAACTTTAGCATTAATTTAATGTGATACGGAGGAATTAGGAACAGAGGTTGACCTTTGCCTATTGGACAGTCGCCGTCGAATCGACAAGTATACTTGCGTTCGGTTACTGTGGATCGCCTGAAAAAAGCGGCACAAGCGCGACACGCCACGGCACCGAAATGTTGTCCGTCACTGACATCACCACAAACACCACACGTTGATGTTGTTCCGTCTTTCTCCATTCAAAAGCACTTGAAATGACCAGTTCATTAGATCTTAAATTTCATGTTCACTGCGGGCAGTTACGTATAATAGCAATACGCGAACACTGCGCCCGTCACTGATTTACATAAAACACAGTAAATCTTTTAAAAATATGTCATGAATGAATACTGTAAGTCCTCTGAGGAATGATGTAAATCACGACAAATATTGTTGCAACTGTTGAAGATCGTTCCTTCAGTGATCTTTTAAAATTTTTAGGTTCAGTTGATTTTTGCAGGTGAAGATGTTTTTTGATCATTTCTTTGAACGCCTTTGAATGTTCACAACGCAATCGTGCACATCACTTCAACAAACGTAACACTTTTCTTACTTCGTTTCATCTTAATGTAATGTCGCATTAACATCTTCACAGTGCCATATTATCACGTCATTACACACCATTGTTTGTTGCCATCTTCTGCAATACTCAAACAAAAATCATGAAATTCGCCCTGGTAGTGTGGAACCGTCTACTTGCTTAGTGCGTGGTATCTCGGTTGTGATGTGAGTCTCAGCCTGAATCTAACTTCAGATGTATTGCACCAGGATATCCCCTTTTCATTATCGTCATCGATCTTAATTACACATACGAAGTGGTTGGAAAATCTCATCATGTCCAGATAAAAATTGCTTAAGTCGCAGTTAGTGATTGACGTAACGGTCATAGCTTCGTACATGTCAAGAACTTCATACATTCATCGTCGCTGAGTACTGACTTTGCACTTTGCACAATTAACACCAAAAAGTTCCATGGATCTCATTCAAAGTCACCAATGCTTCACCAGTTTTAGTCGCCCCTTCATTTTAAGTGCACAGCCATGTATCGATCACGATAATTTTTTGAGGCTCTTACTGACTGACGCATTTGTCCGATAAAACCACATACTAACTCTGCTACTGCTTCACTATGGGAACTTGCGTACGGTTCAAAAGATTCACACAAATTATATTCCGTTTTGAACTAGGCAAGCTGTCTTTGCTTGACAGACACCTGAACATTTCTCAGTTTGGAGATGTTTAGCATGACGCGCGAATGCATAATGTTGATTCTTTGAATTCGATGAAAGCAGTCAAATGATTTATCTTCATTGATTCATTATTGTTCCACTTTAACAACAAACGATTTTCATCATTATTTTTTTAAATTGAGCATTGCAGGAAGTAATGGTGTATGATGAGGTGATAATATGGCAGTGCGAAGATTGTACGACAATACGATAAGATGAAATGAAATAGGGGAAGTGATACTTTTGCACGGTCGCATTGTGAGCATTCTCGAAGAACCGATCAAGAAACATCTTCTTCATCTGTTGTACCCTAAGAACACCTCTCAACTCCTATATCATCAACATTCTGCAGCACTCACAAATCAATACACTGCAATAGCACAAATATCATCGAGCATTATTGCCTCAAAGAATTTCCCACTTTTCCATAGCGAAACATTTCTTTCCTAAAGTGCGATTCCCAGAGTATCGCCAATTAATTTTTTGCATGTTCTGACCATCAATCGAAGTTTCTCACACTCTAACGCAGCCATCATGATCACCAATGCCACTTTCATGCTCTGGAATTGAACATGAATCTGACAACCTATTTCCAAAAATAACGGTGTTGGAAATAGGTTGTTAGATGAGGCAATCGGATTGCTGATCAACTTGAAATAGATGTTGATGAGGCAATCGGATTGCTGATCAACTTATTCGTTCATC